AACCAGGGAGGATCTCCTCCAAAGGCGACCAGTGCAAATCTAGTCATGAAGCTCTGAAAACTGACCTCGGCCGGCGTGTCTAGAGCTACTCCGGCGAAGCCAAAGCCATCGTCTTGAAGTTCAGGTGACAAGGAAGGGCTTGACAGTCGCCATTCGGTTTGGAAATTCAGAATCAAGCTCAAACGAAGAAGGTAAAGTCAGCTCGTACCCACGGTTTACAAAAAATTCTAGATTGTGCGTTTGAGCTTTACCATGCTTAATTGTGTATTTTTTTTTTATGATTTTGAGTTTCTGGATGTTCAAAAGCTAATTCTGATCACAAGTTTCATTGATTGATTGCAAAATCTGGCTTGAAAATGCATCTAACCGAGTCGGCCATGATTGTTAAACCTTGCCGGAAATCGGAGACCTTTGCCGGAGTGCCAAAATGACTTAGGCTATCCAAGTCAGTGATTCCCAACCTTTGTTTGATGTTTTGAATATTGTTTTGGATCGATTTACATGGCTAAGGCGTTCTGTAGGTTGATTTGTGTAAGAGATTGGGTTGATTAAGTCAATGATGGTTTAAGATATTTTGATCGGTTTTTCGTCGGCCGGCGATGGTCTGGCTGTAAATCAGTAAGTTGAGGCTGATTGGAGGTGACATGAACTATACACAGAATTAATCGAAATGGTAAAAAGATCGTTGGAGGCTCACCGACGGTGAGCTCAAACCGGCGGTCTCGATAATGATCAAATCCAGATCATGCTCGCCAGGTGCTCGGCAAAATGCTGAAGAGAAAAATAATGGAAACGACGTTGTTTCGGCGTTGTGCCTGCTGGTGCGCTGGCCAACGCCGGTGCCGGCCGGTCCGACTTAGTCGGACAGGTTTGAACCGGTCCGGTCCGATTCAACCTCCGGCGGGAAAAATTTTAAAAATAATAAATTAAAAAAATCTTGAAAATTCCTATAAAAAAATAGAAAATTCAAAAAATTTCTAAAAAAATTGAAAATTCAATAAAAATTTCAGAAAATTCAAAAAAAATTCAGAAATTCAGAAATCTTAATAAAAATTGGAAAATTTCTGAAAATTTCATAAAAATTCGAAAATTTTCAAAAAAAATCCAAAAAAATGTGAAAAATTCAGAAAAATACAAAAAAAATTTAAAAATCCATAAAAAAGTTTCAAAATTTCAAAAATTTCAAAAAATTTTAGAAAATAAAAAAATTAACTCTCGGGAAGGATAATTCTCAGAAATATTTTTCCAAAAGAAAAATAAAAAATTTCAAAAACTCACAAAATGACTCAAAAACATTGTGGCCAACCTTTGCAAGTGAAATTAGAATTTTTAGAAGTGTCTAAATGACATTTTTTAAGACCTTTCAATTTAGGGGTTAAAATGGTCACAACCCCTAAAAAAACCCTAATTCCCTAAATCAGCACAAATCATTGAATGAATGAGCTTTAGGGCTTTACTAGGGTTTAGGTGTTTTGAATTGATTTTCATTTTAGAGACAAATTAAGATTGTGTTGTTTGATTGTAATTGATTGTGCTGCTTATATTGATTGATTGAGTTCCCACGATTAGAATGGTTAGAATTACTGGATAGACCTCGGAAACTCGTGTGACACGTTAGACACATCATATCATTTTAGGTACCCAAAGGGTGTTAGGGATCTTGATTCGGGATCATTAACGTAACCAAGTCTCCGTATTCAGAATCTCTAGTTTGTAGAATCGTGGTATTTCTCCCGTACCCCAATTAGGTTTTTAGTCAATCTACCAATAATGACTAGTAGAAACTCCAAATCAAAAACATAGATTGAATAGAAAGATAAAAATTACAATCCGCTATCACGTGAGGTATGGTCTGGGAGAGACCCCCGTTTGTTTAGTGATGGGACGTCTGTGGGACGTCTGGACGAAATATCCGTATCAAACCTTAGTAGCCCATTCGGGGACAGTTTCCCCATTCGTGATAAATGGAAGTACCTGCCCGAAAAGGCGCGGCGTGACATAACTCTAACTATAGTAATCGAATCGAGATATCGAATTGTAAAAATGCCGTGAAATAATTACAATAAATTTTTTGCCATTATGTGCTGACCATTTTTGTCCATATCACAAATACATTTTAAGAAATTCAAAAAATTCACATCCGTTTCCTCAACAAGAAAATTTTAATGATGAAAGGTTCTAACTCAGATTTGATTTCCATAAATGACTAAATATTAAAAAAATTACAATTTTTTACTTTCTCCCTCAATGATGCCTATAAAATGCACCATCGTCCTACACGCAAGATTCATTCGGGTGAATACTTACATCTGCAACAAAGTCGATTGATCGTGATGGAGAGGAGATCATCTAAGTTGGCTCTCGTGCTCATGCTCGTCTTCGTTTCAATGTGGGCAAGTCTGCCATCTTCAATGGCCGTGATTGGTGAATGCAACACGAACAAGGATTGTTCGATAAATTGTGTGACTACGAAGCATTTTTACCTTCGTCAACGGAGGCTAAAACGGAAATTTCGAGACGAACGGAGGCCATGGAATGATTCACCGACACCCCTTCTTCAAGCTGGTGGTGCTCACCTCACCGGGAAGGTCACCGTTCGGCCGAAAAAGTCGCGGTTTTGGGCTCTCACGACCAGCTCGTAAGTGGCACTTAAGTGATCTGTTTTTTTGGAAGTTATGGCACTCAAGTGAGCCAAAAAAAAGTTACGGCACTTAAGTGTCCTCCGTACAAAAGTTATGGCACTTGCGCTGTACTTGCTCCCCGCGATCTCTATAAGTTTTCTGAAGCAAGGGGACGATAGGCTAAATGGAAGTTCGAAATAATGCTGCGCAATTGAGGAACAGCAAGAAGTTCCAAATCTCGATAGAAGTTGCGCCATCAAAATCTTTTGGAAATGAAATCATAAAGAAAAAGGAAACGTCCAGCAACTCGTAGCATCAAATAAAGCTACAAGTCATTGCGATCAGCTAAAATATAACAAGAACAGGGAAGAATAAGGACGATATAGCCTGTAAGATCCCTTCCACAAAAAGCAATGGAATCACCAACCAGGAGTCTCGCTAATAGAGAAAGCCTCGCTAGGCGCAACCATCTCCACAAAGAACGCCTGGAGGCATAACCATCGACAAGCTATCAATTGGATCTTTGTCTAAGTTTCAACATGTGGAGGATGATCTCATCCGTGTATCGTTTGGATCATACTCGATGTAAAGAAGAGGTTTAGAACAAGAAAATCGGAAACAAAGAATGAACCAAATGCAAGCATTAAGGCAAAAGTCATACCATTCATCAACCTAGGGTTAAGTTTGCAGAGAAAATGCAAATACTATGTCTCACTTGATTTTAGGGTCATGCCTCCAGGCAAACTGTTTAGTCCATGACATCCCTTTTGACATGAAAAACAACACTAACAAACAAAATTCACATCAAAAGAAGCATTATCTATTTCTGTTGCTCCCATCCTCCCAATCGCATCCCCCGATCGTAGTTAGTGAATAGACAAAACTCATTCCCGAGCTCGCTCGAATGCTTAGGCCGGAATATGCATGGATGCAAACCAAGTAGTTATGCAGCTCCATCTTTTTTAACTTCTCCTGCAAGCATCTCGAATTTGCCAAGCATTAGGAAGGAATATAAAGCATCCAAAGATACTCCAAAAAGAGGGAAAAAGCAAGCTGCAGCAGTTCATAGCTATAATGTCACTGCAAATGAAAGACAACAAACCAAGAACTTAGGTTAAAGGTTCCACGGGAGGACTAAAAGTCGACACATACCTGTAAGTAAAAGCAAGTAATCTGTCTCTCGGCAACTATTTTCTCCTTCAATAGCGGTTCTCCTGCTCAATTCCCTCGCAATTAATTATCTGCAGCTCTCTCAATGCGACGATGCGGCGAATGCCGTCTAGTAAAGAGGATAATCTAGGACAGTCTTCAATCTTCAGTGATCTCAGAGAAGAACTATTTTGCAGTCACTCGGGCAATGCACTCAAGTTGGGACAGTTCTCAATTGTTATCATCTGCAGTGTACTTGCAGAACCTTCAAGCCACCCGAGGAAAGAAACTAGTTCCGGTAATTCCTCGAGTCTCAAGTAACGAAGCATCAACATGGAGTGTTCTTTATTACTTTCACCTTCAGGCAGCTTCAAGCTTGTGCAGTCGCAAATCGAGAGTTCCTCCAATGCCATCAATTTTTTTAAGCCTTGTGGTAAGGAGGCCAACTTCGGACAACATCCAATGAACAACGAACGAAGAAACATGAGCGAATTAATATCATCGAACAAGGCCTCCAAAAACATGCAGTGTTATATGGATAGTGACCGCAGAGAGGTCAAGCATCCTATTCCATTCTCCGGGAAACGCTGCTGTTGCGTGGTTATAGACAAAGTGCGGAGGCTGACCATGTTCTTGATGTTTGCAGGCAATTCCTCGAGTTCTATGCACCCAGCAAGACGTAATTCATACAGATTGCGAAGCTCGCAGACCGATTCGGGGAGTTTCTTGATATGAAAGTTGTTTAATAAACTAAGTAACCTCAATTGCTTTAGACCACCAATGGAACTAGGCAGTCGGTCAAAATAACCCCGATTTGTCCATAGCACTTGCAAGTGCTTGAGTTGTGAAAGGCTTGCCTCCGAAAATAACCCATCAATGGTACCAGTATCAAAAGAGATGGTACGAACTTGCCTGAGTTTGCTCAACTGGCTACGTATTTCGTTATTTGAAAAACAAACTGGGCGTCGAAAAGATACATGCCGAATCGTCGGGGTTATATCCTGTGCTGTGACCACTTGAAATATGGACCATTCGGTTCGTGCCACCGAAATGGCAAGTTTGTAAACGAGATTGTGCATTCAGATAGACAGCGGTGGAAACCTTTCCACACTAACTTCAAAGAAGGACCTTGAACACAGCTCCATCATGTACTGCCATCCAATCTCTTCCAGCTCCCAATTATCTCCTCTGGACTAGATAAGCCCATTCGAGATCCACAGTGAGATCGGATCATTGCTCGCGATAACGCAGTTCGGAATATTGAGCAATAAAGCGAAACATTGTTTCAAGTATGACGGCATTATATCATAGCTTATTCTCAGTGAAGGTAAAATATCAGTTTGTAGTTGCCACATCTCACTATCTCTTACATATGCCCAGTCGGTTTTGTTGTATTTTGAATACAACAAGCTTCTCAAACTCTTCACCGCAAGAGGATTTCCCCAACACTTTTTCACGATGGCATTGGCGATTTCCATAAGGTCCGGGTGATTCTTCTCTTGCTCTTGATCGAATGCACACTTCACGAACAAAGTAAAAGAATCATTCCACGAAAGTCCGGTCAAATTAAGCGGGCGGACACAACCCATGATTGAGGCGACCGACATATTCCGCAAAGTCACAATGACTTTACTACCCTCGGAAGCACCTCGTAACAAATTTCTAAATTCCACCCAACCCTCCCGCCTCACTTCCCACACATTGTCCATTACAAACAGACACCTTTTGTTCCACACAATGCTTCTCAAGATATGTTGCAGCATTTCCAGCCCATCATCTTTGTTTTTGTGACCCAAAGACTTGAGGATGCGTCTTATTATGTTCTCAGTTTCGAATCCTAATGGCATGGTTAACCAAACTTTGAGATCAAAATATTTGTTTACCCAATTGTCATTGTACACCAATTGAGTAAGAACTGTCTTTCCAATACCTCCCATTCCAAGAATCGAAATGACTCCTATCATTCCAACCCCACCATCATTTGATCTTCTTAATAGCTCTAATATCATTTCCTTTTCTTCATTTCTGCCAATCATAACTAAAGGGGTCACAAAAGAATGGGTTTCTCTCCATGGAACTATAATCTTGTCATGAACATCCCCCGACAAGTTGAACTGACTTTTCTCTTCGTTGATCCCATCAAGTCTCTTTCTCAGTTCTTTCATATTATGTGCTATCTTAAACTGGAAAATGAAATTAGATATCCACGAGAACAAGTAGCTTACTTTCCTTTTGAGGGTCAAGTGCTCGGTAGACCTCACCCGCCTCTCCAAAGCCCTAGCTTCGAAATCGTCCAGCACGTCCTCGGCATCGTAGCAGAAGTCTTTAAGCTTCGATAGCCAAATGCTAACGGCTTCATCTTTAGTCTGCCTCTATTCAGCATCAGCGAGCACCCTCTGGATCGTCTCTAGCGTGTTCTTGAGCTTCTCTCGATCATCCTTGACGCCACATACCAATTCAAGTTCTTCAACAGCCGATGAAGCTAGTTTCTCCAAAAGAGGTTTAAGGATGCCAGATACAACTGCACTCGTCATGGTTTGGCTTAACCACTATGCAGGAAATAAACTTGTTATCAGACAGATAGCGAAAGACACATGGTGCGAAAAATGAACACCATAAGAGCGTTAAAAACACTGCAATATAACGAAAATCACACAAAACCGAACTTCAACACAAGAAATTACGAGAAAAATCAAGCGGAACGCAAAAGAAACCTCTAAATCCATCCGAAACAGAGCATGACAAAACCAAAGACACGAGTGACGAGCGTGGACGATGAAGACCAGGAGATGTAATATTCAAAACGACAAAAGTGAAATGGTAAATCATACTGACCCAGACCAAAAGCTCTCCCTGCGTCGAGATCTCTTGAAAATGTTCGAGACAATGGCTGGCCTCGGGATCACAATGGCTGGACTAGCAGGAGAGAAAGGGGGAGAGAGAGAACCCTAGCAGTCAGAGCGAACCGAACAACAGGCGAGGTGAGGCGGTGAGGCGATGCGGCGAGGCGAGGCGGCGAGGCAATGCGGCGAGGCGAGGCGGCGAGGCAAGCGGCAAGGCCAGGCGGCGAGGCAAGGCGGCGAGGTGATGCGGCGATGCCAGGCGGCGAGGCGATGCGGCGAGGCAGGCGGTGAGGCTAGGCGGCGAGGCAGGCGGCAAGGCGACCGAGGGAGGCCGGAGAGCGAGGTGAAAGGGTGAGGGTAGCGAGGCGAGGCGGCGAGGCAACGAGGCGACCGAGGGAGGCCGGCGAGCGAACCGAGCGAGGTGAAAGCGTGAGGGTCCAGATTGTTCGGAGACTCTGCGTCTTTATTTGTTTTGTTTTTTCGGTTTAAAGTTTGTTAATTAGTTAGGGTTTTCAAACATGTAGATGCCAAAATACTATTGAGAAATATAATATTAAATAAATAAGTATTTTTGTTTCTTACGGACGTGTAATTTTTGCCTATAAATAGGTGTTGTGTCACATATGTAGTACAATTTTGCCACAAATTACATATGGATCTATCGTTTTTATTGTATAATCGCAAGTAATTTAACTTTTTCTTTCAATATGTTGTGCCTTTACATTCTCGTAACATAAATTCAACGTAGTCAAAATCCTCATTTCATGCTCGTACTATTATCACCTTTGGGAACCCATGATTGAGTGCCTATTTTATACCTCAACTTTAAGACCCGAGATCGAGTTCTTGTTCCCTTCTAGATCCTCAGTCATCTATTTAACGGACATGGACTGCATTGCATACAAGTTTCGATTTGGCGAAGTCATCCGACAAACAATGAGACACCTAGAATTTTCAATCCATGTAATTTTGGCGCAATCAAAACGGCACGCCTGGAGGTTGAATGTGGAACGCCAATTTCGGAGTAATCACTAAAGCGTGGGAAGAAGACCCCGTAATAGAAATTCCAGTCAACGAGATTCTCCAAACGCCGGTCATTGTCTCGAAAGATTAATGGGTGATGGGCATGAAGAATATGGACACTTCCCCGTGATCTCCCACCCTAGACTCACTCTGCAATCACTTGGTAATACATCTTAAATTCAATCTAGTTAAAACCCCAACTTCTTGCTCGAGATGCCATTGCCTTCAAGAACTTGGGATTGATCTAGAGCTGGATTTGAAGACCCGATATCGAGTTCGTGTTCCTTTCTAGGTATCTGGTCTTCTGTTTAACACGAAAGCGCTTCGAAGTTTTTGATTAAGCGAAGTCAAGCCACAATCAACATGGAATGCCCAGCATTTTCATTTGGCCCGAATTAGTATTAGGGACCCAATCTCTAAGTTTTTCTTTTCTCGAGTAAGCATTATCCAAAAACATAAACTTTAATCCAGTCATTCTTACATTGCTCTGTATCACCAATTTGAATTAGTGTTATAACCTTAAAAATTCAGAATAGTAGCAAGTGGACCCCAACAAGTCACCGTATGGATATATATCCAACGACTATCTCGTAAAAAGTCCTCATCATATAATAATTCGATTTTCCAAAATCCATATGTGTGTACCATTTTTGCTAGGATCACTAATACTTTTTGAAAAAAAAAATCCACAAGTTCACATCCATTTCCTCATCAAGAAAACCTAAATGACAGAAAAGTTCTAACTCATATTTGATTTCCCATAAATTACTATATATAAAAAATTAAATTAATTACTTTTATAAATGACTATAAATGAGAGAAAATCTCCTCCTTACTCCAATGTTCTCGTAATGCACAAAATATAAAACATCTTAAAATGGTTTTTTTATACCAATTTTAGCGATAATCTAACGAAGCAAGTGGTGAGCTTGACTTGATATAAATGACATAAAATCTCCTCCTTGCTCAAATTTTCTCTCAACGCAAATATAAAGTGCCTGAAAATGGCTTTTTTCTTTACCAATTTTGACGATAATCTAATGAAGAAAGTAGTGGGCTTGACTTGCTATAAAGAAGAGCAAATCTCCTCCTTGCTCCCATTTTCTCGTAATGCACAAAATATAAAATGTCTTAAATTTGTTTTTTTATGCCAATTTTGGCGATAATCTAATAAAGCAAGTGGTGGGCTTTTTTGTTCAGAATCAAACTCCTTTCATAACTTCAAGTGGGTTCGGCATTACAAAAGATATGGGCCCCGGAACAGATGAGGTCCCATAAATTTCTTGGAAGATTAAAAACCCAATGAGGAATGCATCAGCTGTTACCGCCTTCGAAGCATGAACACTCCTTGATGAAGTCATATGAGGATATTTGCTTACTTTGATTCGAACTTATGTCCTTATTGCGAAGTAAAATATGATCGTGTGACGATACTTAGTGAAATATTGCTCCACTCTTTATGTCTTTACTGTACTTTGGTTCGTGGAGAAATAATTGCTCAATTGATCCATATAACTAACATAACTCAAGAACTTTATTTGGAAACAACGTAAGAATAACTCCCATGAACTTTTTCTAAAAATGATTTTTTTACATCCCTTAGACTAATTGGTCACCAAAAAATATTTTCATTATCAACACTAGTACTATGCCTAGACATATTCGTCTGATAAAAACAACTTTCATTAAAGATGCAAGCGAACATTTTTTGAAAAATATTTTTCAAATCATTGATTTTTCACGAAACAAATGCATTAGTCTGCAAGAAATTCACTATTTAAAAAGGGGCTTTTTATATGTTAGAGACTACTTCAGGTTAAGTATACATAATAACAAATGTTTGAATGTTTCATACATCGATTACACATACCGTGAGTTAAGTAATTCCGTAATTTAATGTTCTGTGATTGCTTAATTAGTGTCTCAAGGCACTCATTAATAAAATGTATCTTATAAATATCCTTCAAATTTAGCTCGATTGAATGTATCACAATATAAAATCAATGATAATAAGAGCAAATATCACATTCATACAAGAATGAAAATTTGATAACTAAAACTTCAACTTTAATTATGTTTACATTGTCAAAGTGAATATATCGGGTTGGTTTTTAAGTTTGACTTTTTCATTGTTACTTTTAGTCAGACCAATTTTGTTTTTCAAACAAAATGAATTGGGGGTCAAAACATAGAATTTACTAATTTGGGGTTTCAAATTAGTCCATGCGTAGAATATTTATGGTAAGAACAAAGACTTTTGCAATTTGAGTGGGGGCAATAGTGAGGCCAATTTTATTGTTAAAAAAAAACTTAATCGGGCCAAAATATTGAAATTAGGGCGGGGGGAGTGGGGTCAAATTAACCTATACTTTTATTAATTATGCAAATTAATAAAATATTTACAGTGAAATGCCCCCCACTCTTCGTAAAGTGGTTGTAACGCCCCCACCTCAGGGTCATTAACGTGACATCCCGTTCATTGTTTTCTTTTTATACACACAAGCGGAAGCATAATTTCTTGACAATCACATTCAGAACAACAACGAAATTTAGACAAATAGCATCATGAGCAAACCTTATATTTACCGTGCATGCAAACATGTTTTAACAAGCCCTTCGGGCCATGGCAAACATCACATATTTTACATGCATATTTTAGAGGCTCATCCGTTCGTAGCTGACTATGAATAGCAAAACTCGGCTTGGGTGATCCTGTCCCCTCTACTTCATCTTCTCGCTTCTAACTCTATCCACATCTCTTCCCCGCTTCCCGTTCGCATGGCCGATCTACACCCCACTCGTGGCATGCCCCGGAGCTGGCCCGCCTACACCGCCAAAAGGTCTATTGAACCCACGTAGGGGTCCAACCCATTCTCTGTCAGTGTAACCATGCCATGCTATGTACGGGTGAGGCACCAAGTCCGTTAGGCCCTCATTGACCATCACACACGTCGTGATTCGACGGTAGGCTCGGCCTTCTCGGGCATCTATCACGATGAGCACTTCGGCTCTCATTGCCGAACCGGGTCGGGGGAGACGCCATTCTTCAGACCTAAAAAGGAAATAACGGGGGATGAGTCGAGGAGACTCAACAAGTAAACATACTAATATCGAGCGAGGACGGGGGCATTGCCATTAATATAAGTCGGCTCTTACCGCACTCGCATCAATGGCAGATCAATAGCAAAGTTCATACACGAAAACATTAAGCATGGCTATAACATGTGCACCTTGCCATTCAAGTCTCGGTTCTATCTCCAAAACAAACGTCAAACACGAAACATGATTAAATCGAGAAATGAACCAACTACAACCAACCAAACGACCGAGAAACGGTCCAAGCAAACCGTGTCACAACGTATCACAACTTCCTTTCCCGATAGTAAGAAGTTTACTTACACTATGAAATAAAACTAGAACAAGAAAGGAACACGGGAGTCTCGAGTGATTCTTGGTATGTGGCTTGAACACTATCACACGGCCCTTGAACGTGGACTTTATGTGGCTGAACACTAGAAAGGTATGGCGGGTTGGTGCGGTCCTTCCTCTCCCCCTCTCTCTATTTGGCGTGAACAAGAAGCAAGGAAGCAAGAAGCAAGACGGTGATGGCGTGAGAATGAAGAGGAAATGGCGTGAGGGAGGAGGGCTTCACGTGAGGCTCTCTCTCTCTCTTTCTCCCTATTTATAGAAGTTCTTTCTTACTCCCTACTCAAGGCCATTAATGCATGTCATGATGATGGTGCCTCCAAAGTCCAACTAATTAAGGCTTGTTATCATGAATGGGGCTTCTAAGTCTAGGGCCATTTTAATGGCATTAATGAACCTTAATTATGGAAGCTTGAAGGAGAAGCTTTGACCATGCCAAAGCCTTATCTTCTAGCCTCTTCTAAACTTTTCTAGACCGTGAAAACCGTGGACTCCTTGGAGCCTTCTGGATTTGCTAGTTTCTTGCGTAATTGATTCGGGCCAATCAGGTCACACGAAATAGACTCATTGGCACTAAAATCACAACCCGCATCATGCTTAGTTCTCAAGATTTTCCGAGGGTTTTCCGCGACAAAACACGTATAACAATCTCGAAAAATTCCCAATTTTATATATGTTATAGAAAAAGAAGTTCTCAACAACTTTTATGAAGGAAACTTTTCCAAAATCGGCCCAGAAAAGCTTGTATAAAAT